TTTTCATGCCCCTCTGAAAATTCTATCCAAACAGACTCTGTATGTGTTACTTCAGACTTAATACCCGTTTTTATGCAACAGTTCAAGCGATCTCGGACATACAATGCCACCCCCCCCCCCCCCCCCCATACTTCTTTCTTTGGAACAATTTAAAACCCTGAATATGACATTCCGCAGGCATTGTCCCGACTTTTTGAATTAAACCACGTCTCAGTTAAGGCAAATACATCAATGTTACCTACACTAGCAACTAATCTCAACTCGTCCATCTTATTCCTAGCACTACGGCAATTAGCATAATAAACATTGAAAGACTCTCCTTTCTCTTTACCCTTCCTGCTCATTTCTATTTTTCTACTAAACCTATTACTGTCCTTATCACCCAAGGTCCCTGGCTTTTCAATATCTATCTCGTTCTTATTATTACTAGTTCCCCTAGAACTCGTAATATTACTACACTGGGACTTCACTGTTTTCCTGCCAAAACCCATACCACTAACTATTCCTAGTTTAAAGTCCTAACTGCTCCCTCCACTGCAGTTGCCAGTGCTCCCACCCCACACCTAGATAAGTGAATCCCGTCCCTAGCATACATGTCATTTCTGCCATAGAAGAGGTCCCAGTTGTCTATGAATGTTACCGCATTTTCCTTACAGTATTTGTCCAGCCAGCAATTGACACCAATTGCCCTGGACAACCCAATTCCAATCTCCCCCTATTACAGTGACTAAAGGTAAACCCCTTAAATAGTACATCAAAAATTCTCTCACAAAGTTCTCCTTGACTCGTGCGTTGCCATCTGCCTGCATATACACTCCTATAAAACAAACCCTCGTTGCACCCCACTCCCCCTCCACCCTCACGACCCTCCCCCCCTCCTCCCACCCCAAAATATGCAATGGACTGGTTTCCTTTACAGCCACAGCAACCCCACCTTTTAACCTCAAAGAGCCACTCACATACAACTTATATTCTTTCAAAGACAACTCACAACCAAACTTATAATTGTGCTCCTGAATGAAACATATATCTACATTAAATCTCTTTAAAAACCATTCCACCCATACTCTTTTAACCTCGGCTCTCAGGCCATTAACATTGATCGTTACAACCTTGAATTATGACAGTAGAGGCGGCTTGCCCCGCCGCCTTGGAATGGCACCCGACTGACCTGGCTGCTGACTAGAGCCCCGTTTGTCACCTTGTCTGTCCAGTCCCCCAACCCCCCCCCCCCTTAACCTTTGAACCTTTCAGTACTTCAGCACCGCTACACCCACTCTCTGGGAGATCCAACCTGGGCTTCCCAGGTCTCTGCCCTGGCGTTAAAACGTCATCCATATCAGACGTCCCAGCTGTTCTCTTTCGTGAACCTCCGTCTCCACATGTAACCTCCTCTTCCATGCACGCTCTGTGCACCTCAGCCACTACCGTGTGCTTCTTCCCCTCATTGCACACGGTCTTCCCACGTCCCGATGAGACTGTAGTCTCCTCCAATGAGCGTCCACGCTGCTCATCATCCAGACTCCCCTCCACCTCACTCAGGAAGGTATTCAAAACCTCATCCAGCATTCCATCCTGTTGCATGACAGGTTCACCGTCATCGTTCGTCGTTGTCGTCTGCTCAGGCCCCGTCCCCACAGGTAACGTAGCACATGAGTCCGTCTCCGCCTCTGCTTTATCCACTTCCTCACTCCAACTGCACGATGCCTGCCTTTCGGCCGCATCTGTCTCCTGCACCACAGGACCCAACTGCTGATCCACCGGTGTTGGCATCTGTTCCCTCCGTCCTGGTTTCCTATGGCATTGGGCTGCCATATGGTCAAATGATCCACACTGCCTACAAGTCCGCCTCTGTCCTGCATAGTATACGTAGACCTGCGTTCGGAACTCTTCCAGTAAAACATACGAAGGAATTTATTGCCGTAACGTCATCTTCAGATTGAAGGATCCCTCGGGCAGTCCCACATAAGGCCCATCCTTCCATACTCCCAATTCCGCCGCATGAATCCTGCCATAACGACGGAAGACCGCAACCACATCATACTCTGTAGCTTCGAAGGGCACATTCCTGACTTTTACGTATGTCACATAGCTGGATACATCATGTAGACATACCTCCACTGCTGCATTCACGGCCATCCTCTTCTCGTGGTACTTGTCAACTATGCTTGAATAAAATCCAGCATTTATAAATTTGATGAAAATCCTCGTAACTCCGTTAACAGCCACTCCATAAAGCTCTTCATTGGGTATCCCATACACATCACGAATAATCGTAGGGAGTAGCACCTGCATTGTAGAACTGCTTAGGGCACCACGTACCAGTTCCACACAGACAGTATTCACACGTCTGCCATGTCTATCCGCCATGTTGATTGCTCAAAACAGGCAAACTGTGCAGAAAATCAACTGAATCGGGAGCGTCTGCGCAGCACGTCCACACGGCCCGGAAGCGATGAGGACAATTGATTTTTGACGTTTTGCTGAGGTTATGTGTTATAATGACACTCTAAGTCAACCCAGGTCTCAAGTTAAAGGTTCTGACCTATTTTGTGTGGCATCTACACACCATCGTAGTCGGGGACTTGGTTATGTTGAACTTAGATTCAGTATTAAAGGAGTTTTATGACTTTTATGGAGGATCTGCTGATGGTCCCCAGGTAGGGGTCGTTATTTTGTCTTCTTGTTCCCGACGCTGTGTTGCTGCTTGTTACATTATTGCTGTTGGCAAATGATTCATCATATTGTTGAAGCAAGCTGTTTTGATTGCCTTGATGGTCAACAACATAGATTATTTGTTGACTAGTATCAGTTATCTTTTAAGTCTCATTAGAGTGGAGTCGACTCCTGCTGAGACATAACAAGCACACACGCACACACGCACACATTCACACATTCTTGTATATACTAGTATTTTTATCCTTGATTATAAAGTACAAGATGGTACTTATGAGTCGTACTGTTAAAAATGTGCCTTCAGCACTTTACTACTATATATACAATTTAACTTTGCAGTACAAGAGAAGTGTAGGAGTTTATATCCTAAATTATATTAAATTCATTTACTTTGATTTTGTCAACCTAGACAACTTTCTTAATAAAATTCTCAAATTTTATTTCGCTAATGAGTATCCTATCAGTTGCAATCCTAAAGTACTATTAAAATTTATCATAATCTTAAAGGATAACTGGACCATAAGTCTTTCTGGCTACTTGTTACAAAAACCAGAAACAGGTTGAATGCTAGAGGAGGAGACCTTCTAGTATTCTCTGGAGATGTCTATACTTTATAGATAATATTTTTTTGTAACATGCATATTCATGTATGTGTAGTGTGACGTAAGTGTAAGTAGAAGTACCAAGATATACCTGGTATCCCCGGTGTTTATGAGGCAGAAAAAAGACACCAGTAATCCTACCATCATGTAAAACAATTACAGGTTTCTGTTTCACACTCATTAGGCAGGACGGTAGTACCTCCCTGGGTAGCTGCTGTCAGTTCTTTATTTATTTATTTATTTATTTATTTATTTATTTATTTATGTCTTTGCAAACAGTACATTGAGATTTTATATTTACAATAGTGGGTTGCAATGCAATGAGAGCCTCTATTATGCCTAGGCATTATGGGCCAACTTAACATTATTGACTTACAGTCTACTTAACACTAAGAATTATGTCATAGTTGTACAACAGAATATTAATTATATCATAGTTGTACAGTAGATTATTAATTATAAGTGAATCTGATTTGTATAAGACAAAAGATATATTCATATATTAAAAAATGCTTTTTGTGAAAACAATGATTCAATTATATTCCTGCCAACAATGGATAAAAGGTTCAAAGTGATTGTTGAAATTATGATATGGGAATAACATAAGTGAGTACGTGTGTACTGAGTATTTAGCATTTAGTCTAGGGTGATTAAGTGGCTTTTGAGAAGAGTCTTAAAATGATTTTCAGACCGGGTTACTTTAGTCTCTTCTAGTAATGAATTCCAAATTTTGGGGCCCTTTATGTGCATAGAGTTTTTACACAGTGTGATATGGACACGAGGTATATCAAAAAGAGATCTGTGTCTTGTGTTGTGGTCATGTGTCTTGCTAAGGTTGGTGAGGAGAAGTTTGAGTGGAGGGTTTATATTTGCGTGTATTGTTCTGTGTATGTAGTAGGCACATGAATAAGTATGGATGTTCTTATTGGTGAGCAGATTCAGACTTTTGAAAATTGGTAGAGTATGCTGGCGGGAGTGGGAATTTGTTATCATTCTGACTGCTGCCTTTTACTGGGTTATTAGAGGTCTTAGGTGATTGAATGTTGTTGATCCCCATGCACAAATTCCATATGTAAGATAAGGGTATACTAGTGAATGGTACAGTGCCAGGAGAGCTGATTGTGGAACGTAGTACCTTATCTTTGATAGTATACCTACAGTCTTAGAGATTTTCTTGGTGATTTGTTGTATGTGTGTCTGGAATTTAAGGCTACTGCAAAGGTGGATACCAAGGAATTTTCCCTCTGTGAGTCTTGTGACTGATGATCAGTTTAGCGTTATGTTAATTGAATGATTTGCCGCTTTGTTTCCAAACTGAATGAAAAATGTTTTATCAGTACTCAGGGTAAGTTTATTAGTCATCATCTAGGCAGATATTTTCTGCAATTCGGCAATGGCAGGGTTTGCAAGTATGACTGGGTTTGGGTGGGAGAAGACGTATGTTGTGTCATCTGCAAATAATATAGGTTTGAGTAGCTGTGATGCATTCGGTAGAACATTGACGTAGATGAGAAAGAGGAATGGTCCCAGGACACTTCCTTGTGGGACTCCTACTGTGTGGAATTTTTTTCTCTCTCTAACTAAAAGTAGACGATATCTGTTGTTTTTATTATTCTCATTATTTGTTTCAGAAGTTATCATTATTTATTATTTAATATTTTCGTAAGATTATGAACTAAGAATCTATTCAATATTTTGAGTAGACAATATTTGTTGACTCACCCGGCTTGGCAACATTGATCAGATCATTGATTCCTTCAACCTGGATGTGGCCAGGAGCAAATGAACCACAAGCAACGACCATGTCGTAAGTATCTGCCAAAAAATATATTATCAATTAAACGTTCTTACTGTGCATAAATAAATAAAATCATATGAGAATACACTGTTTACAAAACCGAGAAGATGATAAATGAGACACTTGTGCAATGTTTGGGTATATTCCGGAAAAGTTTTGCCATACCTGGAATATACCTGGAGAGGGTTTCGGGGGTCAACGCCCCAGCGACCAAGCCTGATAGTGGATCAGGGCCTGATCAACCAGGCTGTTACTGTTGGCAGCACTCAATCCAACGTACAAACCACAGCCCGGCTGGTCAAGTGCTGACTTTAGGTGCCTGTCCAGGGCCTTTTGAAGACAGTCAGGGGTCTATTGGTAATCCCCCTTATGTATGCTTGTAGGCAGTTGAACAGTCTCGGGCCCCTGACACTTATTGTGTTGTCTCTTAAAGTGCTAATGGCACCCAGGGATGTTGCATCGTCTGTCGAGTCTTTTGCTTTTATAGGTAGTGATTTTAGTGTGCAAGTTCGGTACTAGTCCCTCCAGGATTTTCCAAGTGTATATAATCATGTATCTCTCCCGCCTGCGTTCTAGGGAGTACAGGTTGAGTTTTTTTTTTTTGTTACCGCAGTTATGTATGCCGTGAAGGTTCTTTGTACATTTTCGAGGTCAGCAATTTCACCTGTCCTGAAAGGTGCTGTTAGTGTGCAATAATATTCAAGCTTAGACGAAACAAGCTACCTGAAGAGTGTCATCATGGATTTGGCATCTCTAGTTTTGAAGGTTCTCATTATCCATCCTGTCATTTTTCTAGCAGATGTGATTGATACACCGTTATGGTCTTTGAAGGTGAGATCCTCTGATCACTCCCAGATCTTTTAAATTAGTTTTTCGCTCTATTGGGTGGTTGGAATTTGTTTTATAATCAGATATAGTCTTAATTTCCTCATGCAGAGTCAGTGTGTTCAATCCATCAACCATGACAGCATAAATAGGGCTTATATACTGATGAGAGATAAGGTGGAGCAGTGGTAAACGGGTTCACCAGTGTACATATCCATTAGTGGAATAAGTCTTGTCTATAGGATAGACATATTTTCAGGAAATCTCTGCATCAAGATCCCAAGATGCTGCTGTACCTGACATGATGTAAGTAAACGGTTTATTAAACCGATAAGTTGATAAAGGAGACATTTATTGCACAAATATGAGAAGTTATGTACTTGAAGTTCACAGGTAGTGACCTGAAGTTTTACAAGTACGTAATTTAGGGCAGAAACAACTAAATTAACTTTACACTTACTGACTGATGTTAGTTATACCTCTGAGACAAATGAGACTTTAAGTACAGTGGGTCACAACACTATACTCCCGTCGATGCCCACCCACTCACTCCCACACTCACTTAAGTTGGACCTAACCATATGTAAACAATTATGGAATTTAAACCATTAATAGTGGAAATTTATGATTGTGGACTGCATTGTATTATTAATGACCTGACTTACTAATTAGTGTTTTGGTTCACAAATTATACACATAAAAAGAATATGCAGAGAGAATGTATCTTATAAACATATATTCCATGTTCCCAAAATTTACACTGGAGATGGACCCCATTTACATGTATCATTTTATATTTCACATAAATTAAACAAATTTAGAAATTCACTTTGCCGTATATTGCTTGGGCCCCATATTATTGTTAGCAGATCACATCTTAAAACTTCCTAAACAATAACTAACAGAAACATGTAAAGTAAAAGGACACAAGTGCAACTAATGTGACATTTATTGTGGCAACGTTTCGCTCTCCAGGAGCTTTATCAAGCCATTACAAACAATACATGGACACAGAGGGTATATATAGGCTCAGAGTGAGGTGCAATACTAGTGAGGTACCATTTCGATGTTCACTAGTGGTAGTAGTAGTAGTAGTAGTAGTAGTGGTAGCAGTAGTAGTAGTAGTAGTAGTAGTAGTGGTAGTGACATAAGTAATACAATATGGTAGAGCAATTAATTCGTACATGAGTAAAAGGATATAAAAGCTATTACTGGGTAACATAACTTGATAACTTGAACAACGCCTGTGTACAACACCGAAATTCCACCAATCATCTCATGAAATTCAGAGACGCCCAATTAGTAATCAAAGAAACTAATTTCCGCAGACGCAAGTGCCTTGAATCAGCACTGATCGTTGTTTCGAATACAATTAAACAAAACAACGGCAGCTTCACCATCTCCGAAGTCTTAGCAAGAATCCTCCTGAAAACAGTAAACCCTGCCATCACATAGTCTCTCCTGTTATACTACACAAAGCACAGAGAGTGAACACTGAAACAAGCTGCCTCTTTCCAGTCTATATTTGTCCAACCTATTTTTATGTTACCCAAGTAATAGCTTTTATATCCTTTTACTCATGTACGAATTAATTGCTCTACCATATTGTATTACTTATGTCACTACCACTACTACTACTACTACTACTACTACCACTACTACTACTACTACTACTACCCACTAGTGAACATCGAAATGGTACCTCACTAGTATTGCACCTCACTCTGAGCCTTTATATACCCTCTGTGTCCATGTATTGTTTGTAATGGCTTGATAAAGCTCCTGGAGAGCGAAACGTTGCCACAATAAATGTCACATTAGTTGCACTTGTGTCCTTTTACTTTACATATTGTCGGTAATTCTACCAACTTTATTATAACAGAAACAATGGCAGCTCTCTGAACTATTGAAAATATATGGAAGTGTACATTATATGTGCTGTGCAACTCAGCTGTTTCAGTGTCTCCTTATTTTCCACCATCCCAGGTATATTGCATCTGTTTCCCAGAAAATATGACCATCTGCAGCAAACTGGTTGTCCAATTTAGCCGTTACACCCATTGTTGGATCCCATGGCACAAAATTTATCACCACTATTATATTCAACCAATGTTAGTCCGCCATTTCTTCTGCGTCTCTCCCCCGACACAGTTCCCTGCGGTGCTGGTTCTTCCTTGTTCTCTCGATATTTCTCTAAAGTCAAACCAATATCACGTATTAATGAATATATATTTTATTAACACATCGGCCGTCTCCCACCAAGGCAAGGTGGCCCGAAAAAGAAAATCTTTCGTTATTCACTCTATTACTGTTATTCACTCTATTGCAGTTATAAAACTGTAACATTAACACATCTACAGAGTGCAGACACTGTATTTCCTTCCCGTCTCCAGGACTCAAGTCCAGCCTGCCGGTTTCCCTGAATTCCTTCATGAATGTTGCTTTGCTCACACTCCAACAGAACGTCATGTCCTAAAAACCATTTGCCTCCAATTGCTCCTATCTAACATGCTCACGCATGCTTGTTGGAAGTCTAGGCCTTGCTCACCCAAAACCTCCTCTACCCCTCCCTCCAGCCTTTTGTAGGCCGACTCCTACCCTGCCTTCTCCGCACTACAGATTTATATGCTCTCGAGGTCATTATTTTGTTCCAACCTCTCTACATATCCAAACCACCTCAACACCTCCTTCCTCAGCCCTCTGGATAATAGTTTTGGTAATCCCGCACCTCCCCCTAATTTCAAAACTACGAATTCTCTGCATTATATTCACACCACACATTGTCCTCAGACATGACATCTCCACTGCCTCCAGCCTTCTCCTTGTTGCAATATTCACCACTCATGTTTCACAACCATGTAAGAGCTTTGGTATAACTATACTCTCATATATTCCACTCTTTGCTTCCATGGACAAAATTCTTTGTCTCCACAGACTCCTAAGTGTATCACTCACCTTTTTCCCTTAATCAATTCTATGATTCACCTCATGTTTGATAGTCCTATCTGCTGACACGTCCACTCATTTAATCTGAATGCATTCACCTCCTCCATACTCTCTTCCTCCACTCTGATATCCAATCTTTTGTTACCTAATTTCTTTCCTCATCACCTTACCCTTTCCTATATTCACTTTTACTTTTTTTTCTTTTACATATCCTACCAAACTCATCAACTAACCTCTGCAACTTCTCTTCAAAATCTACCAAAAGCACAGAGTCATCAGCAAACAGCAACTGAGACAACTCCCACTTTTTGTTACATTCCCCAACAATAACTTCTCTTACAACCCCATCTATATTGAACAACTATGGTGACATCACACATCTATAAATATATTGAACAACTATGGTGACATCACACATCTATAAATATATTGAACAACTATGGTGACATCACACATCTATAAATATATTGAACAACTATGTTGACATCACACATCTATAAATATATTGAACAACTATGGTGACATCACACATCAATAAATATATTGAACAACCATGGTGACATCACACGTCAAAAATTGTGACGTCACACATCAACCATGGTGACGTCACACATCAACCATGGTGACGTCACACATCAACCATGGAGACGTCACACATCAACCATGGTGACGTCACACATCAACCATGGTGACGTCACACATCAACCATGGTGACGTCACACATCAACCATGGTGACGTCACACATCAACAATGGTGACGTCACACATCAACCATGGTGACGTCACACATCAACAATGGTGACGTCACACATAAACCATGGTGACGTCACACATCAACCATGGTGACGTCACACGTCAACCATGGTGACGTCACACATCAGCCATGGTGACGTCACACATCAACCATGGTGACGTCACACATCAACCATAGTGACGTCACATATCAACCATAGTGACGTCACATCAACCATGGTGACGTCACACATCAACCATGGTGACGTCACACATCAACCACGGTGACGTCACACATCAACCATGGTGACGTCACACATCAAAAATGGTGAAGTCACACATCAACCATTGAGACGTCACACATCAACCATGGTGACGTCACACATCAACCATGGTGACGTCACACATCAACCATGGTGACGTCACACATCAACCATGGTGACGTCACACATCAACCATCGTGACGTCACACATCAACCATGGTGACGTCACACATCAACCATGGTCACGTCAC